ACACACACACACACACACACACACAATAGCAAAGGTTTATTACGAAGCGAGAGCTATTCAGCTTGAGAACAGCGAGTTTGAACAGGAAGAGCGTCTCGAGCGGCCGCTGCGCTCGTGTAACGGCTCAGACTTGTTTCAGACAGGACAAACAGAGAGCCCAGGACAGGAGCTTACCTTCGGACCAGGTAAACCAGGCTGCCCGGGACTCCCGTGAGGACCAGCTGGACCCTGAGAGGAACAAAGACACACAGTCTATACTTCACAAACCATCCTGCATTTCAATAATCTCAAGAACAGATTCTTGGAGGAAAATTGGGTGATATACATCCCATATTTATCAATATTAAATGATAATGTGCTAAAATTAAGTAACATCAGTGACATTGTGGTGATTATTTCTGGTCTCTGGTACGAAACGCCCAGTTTTCCAGATCAAATAAGCTGGATGATATTAAATCCTATACAATATTTCTTCGCAAATACACTTTACACACTCTTTAGAGAAACACATCTTATAGAAATAAAATGGGCTGTGGATGATGCAGTGTTGTTATTGCCAACTAAATCTAAACCTAAAATTATTACAATTTGTTTTCATTACTTGATATAAAATGAAATATTGAATTAAAAACTTAAATATAAAAATGTTAAAAAAAAACGAAAATTTGAAATGTTTCCTTAGCAACTAAATTAAGTAAAACAAAAATAGATAAAACAAAAAAAGCTAAATATAAATATAAAAACTAATAAAAATGACAAAAGTGCATAATTAATAAAACACAAACTAAAAAAATAACAACAATAAAAATAAAAGCTACTTTGAAATTAATGAAGACTATGCTAGTATAAACAACTTTAATTAAATTACTTTTATAAACATTTTTTTCATTATAAAAGTAAAAATGGTTGAGAATGATGCAGTGTTGTTATCATTAACTAAAATAAAACCAATGAAAATAGTTTTTGTTGATTGAAATAAAGCTGAAATAAAATATTATTATTGTACTTAAACAAAAACAAAATTTAATGGAAATTAGAAATGCCTTGGCAGCAAACTGAAATCGAAGTAGTATAAATACTAAAATTACTAAAACTAAAATAAAAATAAATTAAAGCTAAATAGAAATGTTAAAAAATAAAAACAATTTAAACCGCATAATTACAAAAACTTTAACTAAAAGGAAAAGGAAAATAAAAAATAAAAGCTCATTAAAAATATTAATGGTAGGGTTGTAATGTGTACCAAACAAATCATTCAATTTTTTCAGGTAATTCAGACAATAAATGCCGTTTTGGCGCTCTTTGATGTGGCGAGACAGATCGCTGTATAAACGCCTCAGTGCAGAGTGTGATCATCACTTCCTCTTTACTACTAATTTTAACGCAAAATAAACATGAATGACCATCTCACGCCTCATGCAATCGTAAGTGTTTCAACCACAGAAAGACGTAATTTAAACAGCTCGCAAACAAAATGTTACACAGCATTTTATTTACCTCAGGAAGTCATCAGTGTCCACAGCTCTTTATTTGCTAGAGAAATGAAGTCTAGAGAAGAGCATTTCACGAAATATTAGACCGTATACTCATTATATTTCACTTCACCGGTTAGTGATGTCTTAATTATTTATATATTTCAACAACAAGTAGAAATGTTAAAATTTAGAAGTTAATGTAAAAACTGCATTATGTGCAATTTACATGTTTGCATACGATTTTTGATTATTATGTTTAAAAATAAATAGCAATTGAATTTAAGTTTGGGCTCTGTTGTTAAATGCAACCTTATAGTAATGTAAAAGGGCTTTCTATAGTTTAAAGACCATAAGCTGAGGTAGATTTTTATCCCTAAAAAAATTTTCATTACGATTGAATTTATTGAAAGAAAGAGCAATTTGTTCAGTAAACCACTGTTTAATTATAAAAAAAGAATAATTTTGTTTACCGAACCGTGACGTCAAACCCGAGGTACGTACCGAATTGTCATGTTTGTGTACCGGTACCCCCCTAATTAATGGTATTATTAATGCTAATATTAAAATAACACCGGAATGATGAAATTGACTAGTTCAGAAAAAACAATGCATGCTGTTATCACGGGGAAAAAGAAAGCAATGTGCAATTTCTACCCCACTCTATGGAGCAGCATGAACGCGCTGCTAAACATCTCCTTTTCTGTTTCTGAAAATCCTGAGTAAATGATCCGCGACTGTAATACAGAATCAATGACCATCAGTGTTTCTGAAGAGATACTGAGTGTCTGGGATGATCAGGAATGATCCTGACAGACGGTGTCTGAGAATAAACCATCAATCACAGACTGACAGCAGAGCCTACAGCCAGAGTGAGCGACTCCAGAAACGCATTCATGAGGAAAGAGCCTCACTGTAAATACACAGAGATATCAGTGTGTGTGCTTCCTGCTGACAGAGAGAGGTTCTCAATGACTGCATGACACAGCTGAATGTTAATAACAAAATGCACATAAAATAATTAGTCAATATAATAAATAAATATGCCCAGCAACCTTTAAAAGGCAAGAGAAAACTTTGCATATGTTTTGTTGTCAAAGCAGTGCATCCAATCAAACTCTACACAACTTTATGCAAAAGACGAAAAAACAACGGCGCCTACTTCAGATATGGCTTGCAATGAACTTGCAATGAAGAACTTGGTCTGTGTTTTGTGAATTACTGGCTGCTGACAACATGATATCTAGATAGCAATGTGCAAGATATCTATCTATTTATCGAGAAGCACTGCTGTATATTTCTGTGATTCTTTCACTTTCTCTCTCAGTGATTATTCTGGGCACAAACAGCTGTGGAAAGTCTCGTGCTTCTAATTGTTTCATAATGGAAAGAAAGTGAGCAAGACAGACGGATGCTGCATGAATCCCAACACAGGGAAACAGTATTCACTCCGCGACAAACAACCAAACACTGATGCATGAGAGCGGAGCGTCTTACCCGCGGTCCTCTCTTTCCAGGGGGTCCGGGGAGACCTGGGGGGCCGACGGGACCCTGCAGAGACACACAGATGAGCAGAAAATGAGAACGAGAGGTCGATTCCTGAACAACTGCTTCTAAACAGCACAAGATAGACAGAGTGATTGGAACCGTGTGTCTGACTGCCGCTTTCTCATCACAGAGAAACCCGAACACAGAGTAATGATTCCTGCAGGATTACTGAGACACCACCAGCTTTAGCGGCTAGAGATCTGAGCTGCGAGCGTGACAGGGTACATGGTGTGAAAACACGGAGAAATATTAAATACAGAGCCAGACATGTCCAAAACGAGAAAAGGAATTAATTAAGTGCTTTTGTCTGCTTTTCAAGTTCCAAATAAAAATAATATAAAAATAAAATTCATCAAATAAATAAATAAATAAAACAAACAAAAGCATGTGTTTTAGTCCACAATTTCCAAATCAAAAGAAAAATAAAATTTATTTATAATTTAATATAGAATTATTATTTATGTTTTTTTATAATTCTGTATGACTGATTTTTTTAATCCATTGATTTCCAAATAAAAAGAGAGAAGAAATTAAATATGATTTAAACTATACCTATTATGTGTGTGTGTGTGTGTGTGTGTGTGTGTTTGTGTGTGTTTGTGTGTGTTTTCTTTAAATCCATCAATTTCCAAATAAGACAGAAAAAAAAGCATGATGCAAATTATTTTTATATGATATATTTTTATACACATAAATTACATAATAAATTATATATACATAATTAAGATTACATAATTTTTTTAAATATTTGGAATTTAATGGTAAAACATTTGTATTTGTGTGTGTCCCTGTGTGTGCATGGCTGCGTGCATATACAGTGTGTATATATACATATACACACAAATACAAATGTCAAAATTATATTTATTAAATATTTAAAAAATTATATTTAAATTATACATAAGTTCAAGTACCAAAAACAGCCAACATCTATCTATCTATCTATCTATCTATCTATCTATCTATCTATCTATCTATCTATCTATCTATCTATCTATCTATCTACA